GGGTGTGAGGGGTGTTGCGTGGGCGGGCTCTGGGGCGGGGCTGGACGGAGCTGGCGCCAGGGAAGGGTGGGGGCGGGGCGCAGGGGAGTGCGGGGTGTTGCTGGGGGCGGGGCGCTGGGCCTGGCTCCACCCCCTTTAGGGGGCGGTGCTTATCTCGGCCAGCCGAACTACGTCAAGGTAGTCATTAAAGCTTCCTCCCCCTGGGTCACCTCCCCGCTGGGTGCCAAGGCCTCGACTTTTGACCTTGAGGGCCTGGAGGGCTCTGCCACCTGCCCATCTCAGGTGATACTTTTTTTTTTAAGATTTTATTTATTTGACAGAGAGAGAGAGAGACAGCCAGAGAGGGAACACAAGCAGGGGGAGTGGAGAGGCAGAAGCAGGCTTCCGGCTGAGCAGGGAGCCCGATTCAGGGCTCGATCCCAGGACCCTGGGAACATGACCTGAGCCGAAGGCAGACGCTTAACGACTGAGCCACCCAGGCGCCCCTCAGGTGATACTTTTATGGCTGTGTGATGGCCTCTTGTGCTGGGAGGAGGGCACCCAGGAGCTGAGGAGCTTGGTCACCTCATCTTTGCCCTGGGTATGTCGCCATTTGCTTGAAGGACACAAAACCCCTGGAGTAGGGGCTTCTTGCAGGTCTGGGAGTTTGGACTGTTGAAGCCGCTAAATCTTCCCTGGGGTACCAGGGTCAGCCAGCCTTCCATTGGTGCTTGTGAAACAGTAAGAAAGATGTATGTTGACCTCTGCCCTGACCCCTCTTCCTGCTAATACTTGGTCTTTGACCCCCGTTCCTGACACAAAGCTCCTAAATTCTTTGGAATTTCCTGGGTGATAGGAGCCTCTTTTGTTCTAAGGAAGCCACTGTGGGTGGGCTCCTAGATGGGGGCTGGTCACAAAAAGACCATTCCATGATTAGAAACTTGGAACTTTGGGCCCCACCCCCCATTCTCTGGAGAGGGGAGAGGGGTGAGAAATCAAGTTAATAATCCATCATGCTTTGTGCTGAAGCCTCCATAGAAATCCCTTAACCACAGGGTTCAGAGAGCTGGGTTGCTGAACACACTGAAGTGCTGGGGCAGGTGTGGTGCCCTAAAAGGGCATGGAAGCTCCACGCCCCTTCCCCAAACCTTGCCTTGTGTACCTCTTCGTCTGGTTGTTCATCTGTATCCTTTCTCATATGCCTTATTATATAATAAACCAGTAGACATGTTTCTCTGAGTTCTGTGAGCTGCTCTAGTAAATTAGGAACCCAAGGAAGGAGGCTGTGGGAGTCCTGATATGTAGCTGGTTGGTCAGAAGTACAAGTGCAAGCCTGGGATGTGTGACCAGCATCTGAAGTGGGAGGGGCAGGTTTTGGGACTCAGTGTGTTAGCTCCCGGTGTGAGCTGACTCCGCGTAGATGGTGTCAGAACTGAATTGAATCTTAGGTCCCCCAGCTGATGGGGAGAATTGGTCATGTGGGGAAACCCCTCAAACCAGTCACAGAAGCGTCCTGTGTGAGAACACTCCCCTTAGAGAAGAAACACGAGAGGCAGTCCCAAACCCAGTGACTTCATCAGCAGCTCGCTTTATACTTTTCCTTCAGCTTGTTTTCAATTCTTTCAAAATTTAATGTGTCTCTTTGATTTTTGACATAAACTTTCCAGGTAATTTTGTAAGATAAGGAAGTCAAGTATTATAATCGTGGAAGTTCCCCACTTCTCCTCCTTAGTCACCATGGCCATTTTTTGGCACATCATCCACACACATTCTGTGTACATACAAAATGTGTGTGTGTCCTTCTTAAGAATATAGATACATTCTATACACGTCAGTTTTTTTTAGGTGTTCGTTATTGGTGAGTTTAGAGTTGTCCCATACTTGTAACTGGTGCGCAGTATTTCATTACTTGGGTGCGCTTCACCCTTTGTTCTTCTTTAAGTAGATTTCTCTGTTTAAATATAAAGTATGGTCTGGCTATAATTTTAGTCGGTGTATTCTCAGCACAAACACAGGACAGCTTCCATAGTGCAGAGGGAAATTTTCGTCGCGTCATAGGAGCAGTTGCTCTACTAGAAATGTCTTTAGCACCCCCTGGTGCCATACGCAACTACCCTAGTGACCTTTTCTCCAAATCCTGCCCCACCTGCGGGGGCTATTCTGGACATCAGATACCCAGACCTGAAGACCTCCCACCTGTGTCCGTGTCCCCATCACTAATAACACACTATGTTGAGCTTCTTGAGAGTGGGGATCTGTTGGGTTCATTCCTGGGTCTTCAGTGACACCAGTACTTGTTTGTTGAATGAACAGGCAAGAGTCTATGCTAAGTGCTCCAACCAAATCCTACAAGAGTTTAGTGGGCAGGAGAAACCTAGGAGGGCTTCTTGGAGGAGGTGGTCATGGCAACATGGTCAAGATTCTTAGACTGGGAAATCCAAAAAGGAAGGCCATTTGGAGACAAAGGGGGGCAGTGAGTGAACATGCAGAGAAGGGCCTGTCCAAAGTATCATGGGGGTGAAGGAGGCCCCGTGTAGGTCCAAGCTGGCTATGGAGCTTGGAGAGTCAGGCCCAGCCAAATTATTGAGGACCCTGAAAGCCAAAAGCAGTGGGGACTTTATCAGATGAGTAATGGGTATCCCTTGAGGGTTTCTGAGTAGGGGCATGACCTGCTGCTTAACAATACTCCCCACAGAGAGTATAAAGGTTTCTACAGATTTCCTAAAAGGGCAGGGTGGGCAAGAGGCCCAACTAGAAGAAAGAATTGGCAGCACGGAGGGCCATGAGTGTGGGAGATGATTATTTTGATGGCTGGCAATCCCATGGTACATGTATGTGCCAGACTCTGTTCAGTTAGTCGCCAAGACAGCCTATGACGTGTGTGCTGTTATTGTGCTCATTTTCCAGGAGAGGAGACTGAAGTTCAGGGACGTGAAGGGTGCCCCATAGCCACCCCTCTGGGATAGACCGAGATCTGAAGAGCCAGAGCACTGTAGCTGCAGCCTGGGCAGAGGCTGCCCTGCCCGCAGCTAGGAAGCACCTGAGCCACAGTTTAGACCCAGGAGGTCCTGCTCCAGTTCAGGCCAGAGCTGGCCTAATGAAGCCTGAGCAAGAGTGGGTGCGAGGACTGGGGTGATTCAAACAAGGCCACGCCAGGTGGATCATGGCCATGATTTTTGACAGAAAGAGTGAAGTCAAAAACTTACAGGTGCCAGTTAGGATGGAAGGAAGGCCTAAGCCGAGTTCTCTCCCCCTCCCTCTCCTCTCTCTCTCCCTGTCTGTCTGTCTGTCTGTCTCTCTCTCTCTCTCTCACACACACACACACACACACACACACACACACACTGTTCTGTGAGCTAACCAATGTCGCAGGCTGGTATCCTTTTAGGTGATCAGCCACGACCCAGGAAAGATTTGCTTATGGCAGAAGTACCACTGTTCCCAAGACAGGATTCTGTCACTGTCTATTATTTTCCTAGGGCTGCTGTTAGAAATCTGAAATGGGTTTCCTTGGGCCACAGGCAAGCAACACTAATGTGTATGCAAGGATATTGAAATCATGCTTGTTCTTTTGCTCTCTGATTGAGTCTTGTGATTCCCATTTTCGGGGCGCAAATATTACACATGAGATTGTCCTGGTTTATGTTTACATGTCTCAAAAGTTTGTGATATATTTTCAGTAGCATTAAATATATTGTAAAATATCAAGTTAAAAAATATATGCAGCAGGGCTGCATTCCTTCTGGAGGCTCCCGGGGGGTTGGGGTGGAGTGGGGGTGGATTTCTTTGTTTGCCTTTTCTAGCTTCTAGAGACTGTCTGTGGGTTTTGGCTTGTGGCCTCATCCTGTCTTCCATCTTCAAAGCCACCAGCGTAGCCAATTCAAATCTCTTTTTCTGACTCAGACCCTCCTGCTTCCCTCTTACGAGGACTCTGGTGAATATATAGGGCTGAGCTGGGTAATGCAGGATAATCTCCCATCCTCAAATCCTTAATCTGCAAAATCACATCTGTTTTGCCTTGTAATTTAATGTATTCATAGGTTCCAAGGCATAGAGTGCAGACATCTTTGGGGGCCGTTATTCTGCCCACCACACCATTAGGCATCCAGAATTCTCCAACCTGATGACTAAACCCGGGACATTCTATGAATTAATCCTCTGACCCTAAGGGAACAGGCCACTGAGTTTGTTAGATTTTCAGGCCTATTGAGGCCAGGTGGGAGTGGGGAGTTGTCTAGAATATTCTTTCCAATTTATGTGTCTTGAATACATCTGATTTTATCAATAAGAACCCACTTAGAACATGTATTATATGATTAATGGGCCATAATTTCACCAATGATAATTCACCTCTGACATTCTTTTTTTTTTAAGGATTTTATTTATTTATTTGACAGAGAGGGAGAGAGAGAAAGGAAGCATGAGCAGGGCGAGGGGCAGAAGGAGAGGAAGAAGCATGTGGGACTTGATCCCAGGACCCTGGGATCATGACCTGAGCTGAAGACAGACACTTAACCGACTGAGCCCCCCAGGCGTCCCGACCTCTGACATTCTATATGCTGCACAGCAGACCCTCTGATGTAGACTGAGATTTGGAGAACTGAAGTACTCGTGGTCACATCCTGTGATTAGCATGCCAGCTGACCACCCAGGACGTGAGTTGCCAAGTAGGGTGCCTGCTGGCTCTCCCCGTGGGTGTTGTGATATCTTAAAATAAACCAAAGACCTCTAAACAAGGAAGCTACAAAGCCAGGTTAGGGAGGAAGCAAGAAATACTCCTTAGGTTCTGGTTTAGGGGTCTTTAAAAGAGCAGGTGAGTAGAGGCGCTGTGTGCTGGACAGTGCGCATTTTCTCCTCTGATCCTTTTGACTGCACAGCTGAGTAGGCCATGCCAAGAGATGAGGAGACTGAGGCAGGGGTGAGCAACCCAGGGTCACACAGTAGGTGGCAGGGCCAGGGGCAGGCTCAGCTCTGGCTGCTGTTCATGCTTCTCGGTGGGCCGCCGACCCTGTCACTACACCCAGCCTTTCCTCGCTGAGCCTACTCTGCAGAGGTCCCCAAGGTCCCTGGGTACCTGGGCTCCCCCATAGTCCTGCCTCATGCCTGTGGTGGGATCTTGGGCAGATACAACCTGTCTGAGCACCATTTTCTCATCTTAATGCTGAGAGTTGCTCCCAATAAGAGACTTGGAGCATTGAATCCTGGCCAGCAAACAGATCTGCTGCTTTGTGAATTTTTTCACAAGAAATATTTACTGCATGCCTATTACATAACTCTAGACATAGGGGACAAAGTTATTGAACAAAACTATAATAGAAGACAATGTTCCTGAACTAAGTAAAAACATGAAATTGTCGATAAAAAGATACAGTTTATCCTGGAAAGAGAAAAAAATGAAAATCTGATGTAGGATAGTTGACATTAAGACATATCTAGACTAAATTAGTGAATTTCGGGGATAAAGAAAAATTCAGTGGTCATAAAATGGAAATCTTATGCAAGGGGAAAATATGGCACCCAGAGATTTTGTGCTGCATTTAGGATTCAGGAACTTGCCAGAATCCCCTTTATGTGTATGGCATACATGCATTCTTCCTTCAGAACAGGCTGAATTTTTTACAGCGTTTAAAGACATTTTGAAGAATGGCCAAGTTATTTCTATCAATTGATACATTTTAAAAATCATAGAATTTGACAAGGTTGAGTCCAGGACCTCGGTAAGTTCAAGTGAAGCCGGCCCTGCTGTGAGGACATTGGGTTCCCACTGTGCTGCCCCCTCTTAGCGGGTTGTGAAATCTGTTTAGGGGGTTGCAATCAGTATTTATTAGAAAATGAAATAAAAGAAACTAGAACAGGATAGAATACATTAGGAGCTATGTAGTAAGGTCAAGTTTTGTGTAGATTTTGTGTGTGTGTGTGTTATGTATTGCTTTTGAAACTTCTCTTTAAATGCTCAGTTTCACTTGAAAAGCTCTTATGAGAAGCTCTACACCAGCTAGAAAACAACAGTAATCTTTGTGTTGAGGTGTACATGCACAGAAAGCAGCCAAAACCACGTGTGCACAGATGTGAATGTCACAGGTGCACAGGGAGAGGGGGACAGACCCGGGCCTTGAAGGGGGACCGCTGTCCTGACGTCTAATGCGTGGCTTGGCCTATCAACAGAGTTATGCAGTGTGTCCCTTAAGTGTGGGCTTCTTTCACTCAACAGCAGGTTGGGAGAGGCTGCCCGGCCGCTGCACGTCGCTGTGGATGGTTTATCCTCGTTGATACCCTGTAGTGGTTCCCAAAATGGGGTCCCCGGGCCAGCAGTGGCAGCACCAGGGAACTGGTCAGAGACGCAGATCAGAGGCTGCACCAGACCCTCTGGGTGATTCCGACGTCTGCTGGAGTTTGAGACCCTCCTGCTGCAGCATATTCCTAGCCACTCTTCTTGAGGGAGAAACTCCTATTTCTCATCAGTTGTTTTTCCAAGGGAGAAGGGATGATGCGTGTCTTTTCCACATGAAAATTAATGCCCTGAGCTGGGGTTTTCTTTATGGCCTCTCTTGCCATCTGCTGCCTCCTGATTACCCATCTCCTTTCTTTCCTCCTATCCCACCCAGCCCCTAAGGCCCCAGTGACACCCTCGTCCCTAGTCCTGGGTGTGTCTTACCCATGCAGCGTTGGACCTCTGGGTGCATTGCACAGGTGGTCCTGCTCCTAGCCCTCTGCCCCAGGCACCTGCGCTCCTGGCTGTGCATCCAGTGTCATCTCCCTGGTAGTACTTCTGTCCCTGCCCAAATGCTGGCATACCTAGTCCTGGGCCCTAGCGTCTTCTCCCATCACCTGCTGCCTCCCCGTGTCCAAAGCCCACCTATCTTCCTCAAGTATCACACCACCTCTTCCCTCAGCAGATAGGCACTGAGTGAATGAGGGAATAAATTCACCACACCCAGCTCCTCATCTCCCCACCCCCAAAGCGCTTTGTGCCCCAGGGTCAGCTGGTTGAAGAAATGGCCTCCACATCCACCCAGACACCAGGCTGTCACCTTGGTCCCCTCTCGCACTTTGCCTGCCTCCAGGCTCTAGTCCAGGGGTTGGAAGGAAGAGTGCTATGAAGGGGTCTGCCAGGACTCCCGCCCTCCTTGAACTTAGCAAGACAGATTGTAAGCGAGAAAACAAGCAACCCCTAGAACATCCAACAGTGAAAAGCTTGGGAAGGACACAGAGGCAGGGGGAGAGCCTGGGAGTCAAGAGGGGAAGGTCAAGGCAGCCCACTGCAGAGCAGGGGCATCTGGACTGAGGCCTGAGTAGAGGAAGAGACCCTCCAAGAGAAGGCAGGGTGGCAGAGTGGGTTTAGGCAGAGGGAAGGGTAAGTGCCAAGGCCCTGCGCCAGGACCAGGACCCTCAGGGACGTCTGGACGATTGACAAGAGGGTTTGGGAGTTGGTCTGGATGAGAAGCCCTGGGAAGGTTTCTTCTTTCTCTTGGCCTGCTGTCCCTGGCTCCAGGCTCTGCCCCAGGCCTGCCTGGATCTGGAGGGATCTCACTTCCGGAGCTGCAACTGTGCAGTTGTGCATTGTCTGAGGCTGGTTGCCAAGCTGGGCGCTGATGCATTGTTGCTTCTCTACACTTGCACAAGTTGGCCGTGGGCTCCTGGCAGATCTGCTTTCTCCACCCTTGAGTCTGCATCTCCCACTGTAGCTGCAAGCCTCAGGGCAGGCCCCTCTCTGGTCCTTGACTGGGATAAACAAATGCAGGGACTAGAGATCTGCCTACATGAAGCGGGGAGGACAATCAGGGAAGGCTTCTTGTAGGAGGTGACATTGTAGATGGGCTTGAAGTGAGAACTAGGTAGTCTCTGGGTGGGGGCATAGGTTTCTCAGTGGAGCAGAGGCGAATCTAAGTAGGGAAAGGGGATGGCCTCACAGTGTTTGGCCTGGAGATCGCCCGCCTCCATCTGCCCCTCCCCCTTCTCCTCCCCCAGTTGGCGCTGAGGAATGCCCTGCGCTACTTCCCCCTGGATGTCCAGGAGCTACTGGCCCCTGAGTTTGCCCAGGAGCTGCGACTGTATGGGCATATCTACATGTACCGGTTCTGCCCTGCCATGAAAATGAGGTCAGTGCTGGGGGGTGCAGCGTCAAAGGGGGCCCAGAGTGGGCAGCTCATGGGAGGGACGGAGCTGGAGGTCAGCCGGGGGGAATCCAGGCTGTCCACACTAGGAGGCCCACAGCTGTGGCAAGCTGAGTGGACAGCCCTCACACAGAGAGCGGGTGGTGGCCGTGTTGTCGTCTGTGGGGGGGTCTGTAGCCTCGAGCTGGCTACAGCCGCCAGCCTGGCCAGAAGATGAGGGAATCCTTTTCAGACAGGTGTCTCTGACCTACCGTCCTGGGGAGTCAATCCTGAGCAATTCTGGAGCCAAATTGTATATGAAATCCCTTTCCTAAACTTCATGCCTTGTCCTACCGAGAGATGAGGAGAGCTTTAAAGGGATGGCTCTGTCGGTGTCCTCAAACAGCTTAGGTTCCGCATTAGGGGGTCTCAGGCTGAATGGTGCATGGCACTGGAGGCCTTGTAAAAAAAAGGTAGATGGCTGGGCCTCACCCTACATTGTGGATTCAGCAGTTCTGGGGGGTGGGGGCCCGAGGGTCTGCCATTCTCATGGTTCCCAGACAATGCTGCCCCCACCCAGAGCTCACACTCTAAGCACCACTGTTCTGGAATATGCTGAGGCCCAGACTTGTCTGGAACCACCCCAGGGAATGTCATTCTCCCCATAAAGTAGGAGCCACGTCCCCTCATTCCTGTCAGGGCCTGTCGGCCTGGCATGTGCTCTAGAATTGATGCCCAGGAGCACTGGTGGCATGAAGGAAAGAAGGGATGAATAAACTCCATCTGGAGTAGAGGCTTCTGGAAGGCAGACATCAGCTTTGCTTCGAAGTCCATGTTCTCCCAGTTGGACCTTGCCAAGTGGGGACAAAGGGTGGTGCAGCTGGGTAGGGACCTAACTCCCCATCAGGGGAGGGGAACGACGTGAGCACCAGAGTGGGCTGGCCTGGATGGTTTGGAACTGCCATCTGCTGGCAACTCCCGGGCGACTTCTGCAGGATGCCGTCTGGCTGTCCACACCTGCGTGGCCAGGTGCTGGGCTGTGGCCAGCGTGGGCCTGAGCTTTAGCGGGCAGGGAGCCTGGTGCCCTCCCATCGTCACACCTGGTGGCTGGACTCCCCTTGCAGGGCCTACCCGATCGGGCAGTACCCCTGCCGGACGAGAGCTGCTGCAGCCATCATGCACATGATCATGAACAACCTGGACCCTGCCGTGGCCCAGGTAACAACCGGGGGAAACTGAGGCCTGGGGCCAGCACTGCCCAATAGAAATGTAACTCAAGACGTACGCATAATGCTTTTAAGCTTTTGATTTAGAAACAAAGATAGATTCATAGGAAGTTGTAAAGATAGTGGAGAGGGGACCACTAAACCTGCTCCCAGCTTCCCCCAGTGGCTGTATCTTCTGTGACTACCACACAGCATCAACATTGCTATAATGGACACACATGTCATTTTAAATTTTCTAAAAGCCTCATGAAAAAGTAAAAAACAAACAAACAGATTTACTATTGTATTTTGTTTATCCCAATGTATCAGAAATATTATCATTTTAACCTGTAGTATAAACATTATTGAAATATTTTACAACCTTTTTTCCTATTAAGTCTTTGAAGTCGAGGTGTATTTTACATTCAGAGCATGTCAGACGAGCTATGGTTCAAGTGTTCGATAGCCACACGTGGATGACCCAGTCTGGCCATGTGTGTCCGGCACGGGCGTCCTTGGGGGCCAGGCTGTACGACAGATGCCCATTTTGAGAAAGGATAGCCTTTGCAGGGGTGTGTCCAAGTATTAAACTTGAGGGCAATATGGTCCTAGAATTCGAATGTTCCACCTCGAGGCGAGAACTTCCTCAGCCCTGGCCCTGGCCTCAGAACCTGGTCACAGACGGACCCCTGACATTGACCCTGGGCTAAGTTCCCAGAGGGACCCCAGATCCAGGTCTGACCCTCACCTCACCCTGAGCTCTTACCTGGTCACAGGTGGGCCAATGTTCCCTGGGCCTCGCCCTTTCTGCCTTCTCTCCCTGCCCTTAACACTCCTTCTTCAAGACCATCGGCCACCTTGCCCTCTTGAGCACAGTGCCGAGGTGGGGGCCCTCCCAGGCCCCCATCTCAGATGATACCATGTCTTCTCCAGTTTCCCCAGGAGCTCGTGACCTATGGAGGAAATGGGCAGGTGTTCAGCAACTGGGCTCAGGTACGCTGGACTGTATGGCTTCCCCCCCCCCCACGTCTTCTGGCCTGGTAGGAGCTTACAACCAGGGCTCAGGACTCAGGTCTCTGGCTCCCTGTTGCCTGAGAGGCCAACACTGGAGATACTCAGTTACTGACGGTTCCAAGGTCATGAATGGCAGTATTGGAGGCACCAAGAGCCATTGGAGAGTAATGAAGGCCTGGAGGGATGGGAGCACTTCTGGCAGCACTTCTAGGGCTGTGGGAGCTCTCTGGGCCTGGGTGGGGGCTTGGGGTGCGGCGTGCCCCCCCTTACAGAGCCCTCCATGTTTCCTCTCCGCTGCAGTTCTGGCTGACAATGTCCTACTTGTCGCAGATGACAGAGGAGCAGACCCTGGTCATGTATAGTGGACACCCACTGGGCCTCTTCCCGAGCAGCCCCCAGGCCCCCCGGCTGGTCGTCACTAATGGGATGGTGGGTCCTGGGGCAGCTGGGCATTGTCCTGCCTTGGGGTGGGAGAGCCAGGTGCCCCCAACACCTGCCTCCCCACCGTTCCCTCTGTGAGCCCCCAGCCCTTGGCTCCCATCCATCTTTTCCAGGTCATTCCCAACTACTCCTCCAGGACAGAGTATGAGAAGCTCTTTGCTGTGGGAGTTACAATGTAAGTCCTGTCTCACTATTTCAGTTTATATGAGGGTGTTTCCACCTCAGCCATGTGGTGGCTGTGTAGCAACATTAAAAACAATTTGAAAAACCCTCACAATGGCAGCACCAAAGCACAATTGCCTGTTGACATATTCCCTAGGGGTTTTGTGGATATGCATACTACAGTTTTTATACACTTGCGAGCAAGTGAACAATTTGGATCCTGCTTTTTCCCAACGTTTCGTTATGTTATGAACAATTTCAAATAGACAAAACATTGAAAGAATTAACAGTGAACACCGAGATTCTGTGTTTAACACACTACCAAACTCTGTGTCCCATGTCTATCTATCCATCCCTCTATCCATCTGTCTGACTAACTTGGCTTTTGATGTGTCTCAAAGTAAGCTGTAGATATGATGGCCTGGAATTCAGTATTTGTTTACAGGGTTTTTTTTTTTTCCTTTTGAAGTAAAATTTACATGAAATGCACGCATCCTAGTGCACCATTTGATAAGTTTGACAAATGTGTGCACCTTGCAACCCAAACTCCAAGATACAGAGCACGACCATTTCATCTGTCATAAAATTAATGCATGCTCTGAATTGAAAGCTTTTCCCTCAAACATTATGAAAAGAGCTACAGTGGAAGGGAAATCCCTCTCCCACCCTATACTCCCCACTTCAGGCGAGTAAAGTCTGTGGCTTTCCAAACATTTCTTGCGCACATGGTTACAGGTTTAGGTAGACCGTTGCAGGCCCTCTGCACTAGCCTTTCCACCTTTGACGATATCGTTCCATTTAAGGGAACGTGAGAGTCTAATTAACCCTTATTTTACCTGCAGTGTTCAGTTGTAGCATGATTTATTTGACCCCCTTGCCACCTGATTTGGGTTGTTTCCAGTTCTTTGGGCTTATAAAGAATGCTACAGTGAATGTCCTGATCTGTATATTTTTGTGGATCTCTGGGAGTGTTGCTCTGGACTAATAACCATGTGAAGTTGTTACTGGGACCAACAAAGTGGGTCCACTCCTCGGAGAGCTATAGACAGAGATCACACCAGGTGGCGTTGCCTCACAAAGTCACTTTATTCGCAGAAATAAGGACATCACAGGGAATAACGTCCAAAGCCACTTTCCCAGCAGGGGCAAGCAGGCCCCTTTTAGTAGGGTTTTTCAGAGGGTGATTTTAATATTATAATGAGGCTGTGGTAACTGTCAGGCACTTTCTGATTCATCTGCACAGGGGGTTGTTCTCAAATGTTTCTACTCCCATTCCAGTAGTTCCTTCCTTAGTTTCTAAAAGAGGAAATTGACAGGCAGGAGCCTCTAGGCATTTCCTGAGTTCAGGAGTCAGTCCTGAGTTCAGGTGTTTGAGGGGCCTCACCAGTGACCAAGGATGATCAGGTCTGTCGTATTGGGAGTCAGTTAACCAGGCCTCAGGCTAGTACTTTATAATATAATCATCATTATAGTCACTACCATGTGTCTTAAGATTTATAGATACCTTCACATTTGGTCCTCTACACAAGCCTCAGCACTGGGTGCCCTTCTTAGTCCATTTTGTGCAGGAAGAAACCGAGGCTCAGAAACCCAATTATTTTTCTGGTTAGTCATAAGTAGTTACTGTTATTATTATTTACTAGGAGGCCCCACCGCCTCTTCTGTGTCAGTGGAAGCAGCCACCGGGTCAGAGGGGCAGGATCTGTGTCCTGGATCCGCTGCCTCCTAAGTGTGACTTTGGACAAGTTGGTGTGCTTCTGTTTCGTAGGTTCAGGATGGAAGTTTAAAGAGAGTGGAACTGCAGAGTCAGACCTGGTCTGCCACACCTGAGGGTTGACCCAGGTGCTGTGCGCAATTGGCTAAATGGATGCAAATTGCCCACAGAGGTGGGAAGAGGTTTACATGTATACGGGATCTGAGAACCTCTAACAGAAGCAAAGCCGGCCTTTTCACTGTCAGGCTGACAAAACAAAGCTACAGAATACAACAAGTACTAGGGAGGATGTGGGAAAACAGGCAGTCACAGATTGTGGGTGGTCTAGGTCAGTACAGCAAGGCTGGGGGTGGCCAGGAGGACTACATCTAGCAGCTGGGGTCAAAGTTCCAAGTGCAGTTAACTTGATCCCACAATTTTACCTCCAGGAGTTATTTTGGGAGCAACATGCAGGGGATAACTTGAGCATAAAGGACCGAATCAGAAGGATTTAAAATCAGTTCCCAGCTCTGCTGCATATCCCTGTATAACCTTGGCACTTGGATCCTATCTATAAAGAGGGGATTTAATAGCTCCTGCCTCAAAGAGTTGTGTGAGAATTCATGAAATGATAGAAGGGACACCCTTTTCCACGTGACACAAAGGGAGCCCTTGAGCCCTCTGCTTGAGTTGATGTGGGCCCACTAGGGAGCACACCCTGTGGCAGAGGGTAGGGGGCCCATGCAGCCTTGTGGGTGGTTATGATGGTTTCACCCATCTCCCTGGGTGGGTATTTATTATCTTAGCACTGCTTTTTATGTTGTTTAATAGACAACCTTCCAGGGGCACCTGGGTGGCTCAGTTGGTTGGGCGGCTGCCTTTGGCTCGGGTCATGATCCTGGAGTCCCGGGATCGGGTCCCACATCGGGCTCCCTGCTCGGC